AATGGTCTCGTCAAAAACGAGGAAAGTTTTGCTATAATTGAATATCTATTTTTTGCAGCACTTAAGCGCCAATTTTCTCTCTTTCCATCACACATCTTCCGCATCAAATGTATCAATTTTAAAAAGCACATATTTTAACAAACCATCTTTTTGTTTATATATATACATGTTTATTTAAAAAGGAAAAATTTTACTGAATAATTTTACTGTCGCTTTATTGGGAGGGTGGCATTTTTCCTTAATAAAACCTAAAAAAGTATTTTCAATAAAATTATAATATTTAATTACAACATATAAACACATATAAAGTAAATGCAAATACTTTTAGTTGCCTATTCTTTATAAAATTTGATGTTTTGTAAAGCAGGGAATTGTTACCATAGCATTTAAATAAATAGCTACATTTTAAAATTAATTTCCTTTCTAAATTAATTTCATTGCTTGTTTTTTTATTTAAAAAAACATAATTTAAAATAAGGAAGATGGAAAAAAATAATAGAAGTTTAATATATTTATTCACTTTTTTTAGTTAAGTACTTTCAACCTTTTTTAGATATAAGGCAAAAAGATAAGTCTAAAACCAAATGCTGCTTTTATACTCTAAAATGAAATCAGAAAAAGTTTAATTTCTTGTTTGTCTCGATCTATATTATTTAATACCATCTATACTTAGAATGCGCTATTTCAAAGTGTTATAAGCCTTTCTTTTTTAATACTTTTTATAGTTCTTTTGAAATAACTTAATGCTCTACTGCCTAAGTTCAGAAAAGATAAAGAATAAAGAAGAAAATAAGAAAAAAGGTTCTCAACAAACTTCACAACATATGACACTACTCATTTACTCTCCTCCATCAATTAGAATTAATATTTTTTATTAACAATAAAGAAAGCAATAAAACCGCATGAGCTATCTATTTATTAAAAGCCCATTAGCGTCTTTAAATTGTGCTATCAACCCTACGATAAAAAACGATTTGTCAACAATCGTAAGTTCAAATAATGAAACACTGAGAAAATACTTCTTTTTCTCCCAGAAATATAAAGACAGGAAATAAGTCGTCCGGTAGTATTGTCTTTCGAAACCCAGAAACTGCTTTTATTCTCATTTCCAATAGATACTTTTATTGATTTTTCTTTAACGGCGTTGGACAGAATGACTACAAAGACATCATTTTATCCTTCGGTTAATTGGCACAGCCACGCCACTTTTTACGTAATTGGTCCGTCTGCGAACAGATTTGGCCAATTTATTCTGATAGCAAGTTTCTCCCTCCTCTAATCTCCCGTTGTGTGGGTGTACCGGTTTTTTTTTTATTTTCCTCTTACCTATTTGGAAAAGTAATGAAACTCCGAAATTACGTTACTTTCCTTTTTTGAGGAGGCATTTCAGCTTATAAACAAGCAAATAATTTAGCTTTCTTAGCTAAGATAGGGTTTAGAAACCTCTTAAGGGATAAAAAAACATAATTTATATCAAATCTTAATCTCAGTTAACTTAAAGTAAGTCTATGTATTTTTTATATTATCGAACTGCTTTCGGCAACATCTGATTGAAGATCATAGACTGAGAAGAAAGGTATGGTCAAAATTACTGGAATATGGTAAAATTCATCTTTTTTTTCTGGCTCCATGGGAATACGAAAAAACTTTCACCAAAATGCTTTGATAATGATTTTGGTAAAATTACAGATAAAAAGGTTTTAAAATATGTGATAAAATTTGGTAATTTTATCATGATACCTTCATGATAAAATTACCATGATATTACCTTCATGATAAAATATCATGATTTTATCATGATATTTGGTAATATGATACCTTCGAGCATGGCGGCATAAAAATCTTTTATTAGCTTAATTTTCTTTTATGTTTTGTATTTTTTTTACTTAATGTTGGGTATTTAGAACTATAATTTTCATAACAGAAATTTTCTGGTAAATTATTACCATATGAAAGGAAAAATTACCAAATGAATGGTTTAAATATCGCATATTTTGGTTTAATTAACCAAAATTATGGGTTTTTTTTATCAGAAATGTCCTTACCTCGCAGAACGATAACTTAACTAGAATTTTTACTCAGTAGTCATTTATTTATGCTGAAACTAATTTTTTTTATCTTAAATCTTTTTTTCTGTATTCAAAAAATTTTTGTCACTAATTTGCAATTCAAAGTATTAAGTTATACTTTCAAATTAACTTTTATTTAAAACCAAAGAAATATATTAATGTTTCTAAAGTATGTCACAAAGATTTATTTTATTCATATCAGTTTTTAATTAAAGTTTATAAAAATTACTTGTAAGAATAATAAATATGTTATTCAATATTATTGGTTTTCTTATTTGCATGTAAATTTTTTTTTCTTAATTAAAAAGATATGTAAATAAATATTGACTGTATAACTTTCTTTCTTGAATAGCTTTCATTAAAGGGATGTTTAAGTGTGAAATAATCGTAAAAAATATGAAAGAAGCAGAACGATAAAGGAAAAAAAATATTACCCCTTGCAAGGATTTTTAGTTCTTAACATGTAATTTGCTTTTTCTACAAACTTAAAAAAATAAACTGATAAGGAATTTAATAACAATATGTTGATTGGATTTCATGTAATTGTAAATAAATAACGCATTTTTTTCATTAGGGATAGAACATTTTAAATTATGTAAAAATTTGTAGCTTTTTATAACAGTCGGACGGCCATCAAATTATATACTTCAAACTGCGTAAAAACTGTTTTATCTTATTGATTTTTTTCCTCAACTATGGTTCAATTCTGGAGAATGAAAATACCGTCCTAAGATATGAATAATAATCAAAGTAAAAAACCTGATTTTTTTTTAATATTATTTTAAACTGCTTACCCAATTCAGAGTCTTTGACTATCAATATTCAACTCCGAAGCCTTGTAAATTTGAGCCCAACTCAGAAGACAAGGGGAGGATTAGATCAAGCAACGGGACAAACTAGTTTTCGTGACGGACTTTTGGGATCCAAATTATCCGCATTTGCGTTGCATGGAAATTCATGAAAACATCCCACGTTGAGCCCAACGCCATGGGATTCTAACCAATGATCCGACAACCACTGAGGATATTTTATATAAGCCTGTAGTTTGTGTGAGCCGAGAGCAGAAATCGTATCAACCATCAGCCATCGCTGAAATTCGAACTTAGAGCACCTCATTGAGTACGGAGTTCACTCCCTAATGAAGTCGAAAGTTTAATTTTGATGTTAGGTTAACTTACGTTGAATTTTTTGCTAGTTTATTTGTAATGTTCGTTTAGTTCGATACGAATGTAATAAAAATTATCAATTCATGACAGGATTTGAAAATTTAATTAACTTAAAATTTGAAATGTGTTTGCTATGTTTACCATGTTACTATGCTATGAGGCATGTATCTGAATTAAAATATTCAAAAATATATCGCATAGTTTCCTAACTCTAAAAAGCATTTTCAAACAAAATCCTAATTTAATGATTGACTAACACATTATGTTCATTCTTTTCAAGCACGTAATATTTTTTTTTATTTAAAAAAATAATTCTAAATGAAAATACTTGTAATAAAAGAAAGTTCGGTGAAAATTTTTCTCCCTCGATAAAAAGCATGGTCTTGTAATATCATGAATACAAGACTTCTGGTTAGAAAATATGAGGTTATTTATCAACTTTTATGACGACGAAACCTTTTATGAATTCCTTTATATCTTTATTAAAAAGTCAGTAACTCGAAATTTCTGCAAATTACATCAAAGTTGCATGGACGGCCAAAAGATTCTCTCGTCGCTATTTTACAAATTTGGCTAATTTAACGCTAAAACTTTAAAGAATATTTTTTCCTGAACCAAACTTCATCATTTTTATTAGATCAGCGAACATAATACCAAGTTTATGAAGGACGCTAATACTTTTCATAGGTTCTTGTATTCCCTCAAGTTTAGTGAAGTTAAAATAACTTTGAAATTAAAAGAGTTATTAAAAGTATAATTGCATTAACGAATTTAAGAGTATTAGTTTAATGTTAAAAATCTGTTGGCAAAAAATTTTTAATAATTAATAAGAAATAATTCATCAAGTGTAAAACAATTATTGAAACCAAAAATATAAAATATATAATGCAATTTATAATGAATATTAAAATGTATATATAATGTAATTCATAATAAATTGAAACATTGCTGAACACAACATAACTTATAGGTAAAATATTGATTCATTTATTTGATTTTCATGTAATAAGATGGAATCTTAATGGCTCAAGATGCATTTCTCAAATTTATGTATATAAACAATAATGTAAAACATAGAATGACATTCAAAAACGTACTTTCTCAGAAAAAAGACATTTCTGTGATATTATTATTAATCGTTTTTAATTAATAAACGAGATCAATTTTAAGAGCTATTCATTTCTTTTATTTCTACTAATTTTATAAAACTGAGTAATAGGGCAGAAAAGTATTCACATTGTTTAAAAATGTAATTTTAAATTTAATAAAAAATCCCTAATCGTCTTGAACCAAGTCGAATAAACTTTTATGAAACATAAAATAAAAACTTTTATATTTTATTTCTTTATAGTTTTCTAACCATAAATTTAGGATTCAGATGAAATATATTTCAAATTCCTCTCGAAAAAACGCAAATCAATAAGGTAACCTCAGTTTTCAAATCAGTCATTATTTTTATCCCACTGTAGAACATTTTTAATCAAAATACGGTAAAGTACATCTTTTTGGGTACATCAACCGAAATATTTACAGTAATATTTATTTAATTCGAGTGTTTCAGTGATTTTACAGTTGCTATTACTAAAACATTATTGTATATTGGATTTTTGTTCAGTAACATGTCCCGGTAAAATAGATTACCGTAATTTGATCCGGACCGATTACCGTAATTCGATCCGTTTGATGCGGAATTTTTGACATCTCAGCTGATGTTGGTAACTATAAAATGTCAATTAGAAGATTTGTAAAAATAAAAAATAATTACCGTGAAGAAAATACGACTTTTCCATTGTTGAAGATTCTTGCAAAGCGGTTAGATCTTTGAACTTGATGAAACTTTCCTTCTCTTTCATTGAAGAAAAGATCGGGAGTCCATATTTTAGAGATACTGCTTAGAGGAATACTTTGTATAATTCCTTCTGGGTCAGGATAACGTAAACGAGGATCCTCCCAATGCTCTTTTAAATAGAGCTGAATTACGTAATCCTAAAGTATATAAATTTGAATTTAAAACAATATTTTTTACCGGATTAAAAATTTCATTCACTTAAAAAATGCATATAAATAGATATTACCTGATTTGTTTGGTTTATTTTCCTTTTTGTCTGGCACTTCTTAGAAATAGGCGCCCGTTTTTGTGAACTTAAAATATGTCTACTGTTTTTTTCTTCTATTTAAATATTTTTAAAGCTAATGAAACTTTTAATCAGGTAATATCTTAACAGTTCAGTTTCTTGGAGTAATTTTATCTAATAGTTTCGATTTAGTTATCCAAAATAAAACATTTTTATTAAATAAAAGTTATAATCAAAAACAAATTCGTAAACTGAAATGTCCAATATAGGCATATAACTATAAAAAACTAATAACATTTTAGAAATTTAGCTACCCTCCTCCTTGGTTAGTAGATACTTCTACCACTAAGCGTCTGTGGGGAGCTTTCTAACAATCACAACTCGTATTTATGTTAAAGCTATATGCTGAAAAAGATCTTTTAAAATGGATTTAAGTGACAAAAACTGAAAAAAATCAAGCCTACAAATATTAAGTTTTGTTCCAATCTAAAAGATTTTGAACTACTTTTAAAGCTGGCTGCATATTTTTGTAAAACTTATCTTTCGATATAACTCATAACAAAAAAAAGTTCAAAAATAACTGTTCTTTTTACCAAAGAAAGAAAAGAAAATTCATGTAAATCATACAGGCAGTTTTAAAAGTATACAAATACACTACTTTCTTGTAAATATAATGTTATTTGAAGCAAGAATTGCTCCAAATATCCAAAAATAAAATATTCAGCGCATATTTATTACAAGAATATTCATCATTTATAGTTATTGCTACTCATCTTTTTAAAAAAAATATTTACCAAAATATACGCAATGAATTTTTTTTGAAATTAAGTTTCTTTTTAATTAAATTATACTATTTTTCGTAATTCACACAATATTATTTTAATTGATTCAATTTAAGAAAAGAATGTGAAATCAATTAAACAATATATATTGACAGATCCTACCATTTTCTACATTTTTAGATCGAATTCTTTAGTAAAGCACATTATATGTTTCAAAAAATCTTAATAATGTTTGTTTACTGGACAAAGTTTAAAATATGCAATCAGTTAAAAAGATTAACAATCCTTACCATTTTTAAATCACTAATATCAAATATATCAATAATGTTTATGTGGACTCTAACTTTTGTGGGAGCAGCTGAAAGAGAACAGCACGTTCTTAATTAAAACAGAAAATTAAAAAAATGAAAATAAAATTTATTTAAGGTCATGCTATTTTACCTTCGCTTCCAATCATGTGTGGCCGTAAATTGGCGTCGTAATTGCGAAGCATTTTATCTAAATGGCTTTTTTTCAAATGAACCATATTACCAAAGACCCTAAAATAAACCAAAAGCTTAATGCTTCCTAATCATACTTTTCACATCATGCGAAAAGCTCATAATGCAATGCGGCATAAATAATTACGGATGAATAAATTTCAAGCTGATATAATATTTTAAAATTCAAAGGTTGTTTACTACTTACGCATGAATAAAGCCCCAGAATATGAAATAATAAAGAAACTCCATTTTCATAATTGATTACTTTAGCGATGAAGTGCTATCTGAAACGGAAATAAGAGGATTATTTTATATCATAAATAGCATGAAACTTCTCTTGAAAATGATAAGCAAAACAATTTAGTATTAAGAAGTGTTTTGCTTTTATTGTCTTTATGTAGAGTAAGGACTTTTTTGGACAAATTAATATTCAAAAATGATTTTTTAGCAGAAATAAATACAAAAGAAAATATAAAAGAAATATAATGCATTTCCCTCGAAATATATTATATTTTACAATACATTTAATACTTTTCTTTAATTACTTTTAGCTTTATCGATAGATATTTTTACTTTAGAATATAGAGATGATCCATGAGCGGTGTTTTGAATTTTTTATGCTTTCTACGAAAGTACACACAAATTTTGATATCATTATCATGAGGTATTACCTAACAACGTTGAAATTGTTTTGGTAAATTTTGCGTAACAGTATCTATATATTTTATTTAATTTTCAGCATTTTTTAACGTAACTGCTTAAGGAATTTTCGAAATTAAAATTTTAAGATTTTTATTTCTTTTTAAATTATATATGTATATATATATATATGTAAGTTCAAAATGTAGAGAAAACAAGGAAAAAATTACAGAACAATGAAGAAAGGGGAGAAAGGAGGAAAAATAATAATAAAAATAAAAATAACAAGAAACCGAGGGGGATTTTAAAAAATCCGGAAAATAAAAGATATAACCTTTTCATCAGCTCACACGATTATATCCGCAAAAAATAGTGCTTTCTAATATTGCATCAATATAGCCAAAGTATATATATATATATATATATATATACTTTGGCTATATATATATATATATTCTTTCTTGGACTTTCATTCAGCTCACTAGGATAAATTTATACTTTTTATTTAATTTTTCAAACTTTTTTAAATAAAAAAAACGTGTTGCTTTTAATTTTTTTATGCTAATGTACAAAAGTACTCACAAATCTTTTGTAAGTCATTTTTAAAAATTTTTAAATTATTGAAAATATTATCTTACAATGTTAAAGTTGCTATGGTAATTTTTTCAAAACAATGCATATAATTTATTTTGCTTCCAGCATTTTTTATGTTACTGTTTACGAAACTTTCAGTATTAAATTTCTTGCTTTTTACAAATTTTTGTTTTTGAAAATTCGAGACAAATATAAATAGGAATATGATATATTCATAGGCGCATGATATATATAATTTATAGATAGGAGATACAAATTACTTGAAGAAAAATTAGAGTAAAGTAACTAAATTTAAGCATTCTAGATTTCTTTTAAATGCTTTAAGGATTATGGAGTTTATTGTTAAATAATTAAGGATAATAGTTGCTAAATTATTATTGCTAATATTAATTATTGTTAAATAATAAGGCGGAGAAATAATTAAGGGGAATAAAGGATAAATTCTTCAACGTGGGGGAAAGAGTAACCAAGTCTTGTCTCGCATTTGGGTAGAGATAAAAAAGTAATTTTTTACCACTTGAAGGAAAATTAATTGGATTTTTTATTTTTTATTTAAGTAATAAAAAAGATCATCACTTTTGAAAATTAAATCCTTTTTATATAATTAGAAAGTGATTTTCATTCATGAACGAAAAATTACAAAAATGAGGGAGATTATTTCCCAAAGACACTAAATTGTAATGCGTAAATTTATATTTACTCATTTTCTTTTAAAATTTTATTATTTGCTATATGTTTGGTAAGAATTTTATTTTTTTAATTATATCCTCTCTGAAGTTTAAGTTTTAAAACTACAAAATTATACTCTGTTTATATGTATGCAGCAATCAAGCACATTTCATACGAGCCTACAGCATTTTTAAATTTGATATTTTTTAGTTCTATACTTTTTTTATACAGAGAGAAATATGGCTGTATAGAAGAAAATGAGGTTTTATCGAGAGGGAAATGTGGTTGCATAGAGAAAAACGAGGCTATATAGAGTGAAATGTCGTTATATTGAAGAAAATGTGTTTGTATAGAGGAAAATGTGTTTGCATAAAGGGAAATGTGGATTTTTTCGTGTGCAAGTTTTTAAAATGGGGCCAACACATTTGAGTTGTTGTTGTTTTACAAAAATTGCAAAAAAGTACCATGTCTTATTGAAGGAAATTTGGTAAAAATTTCTGTATTACAAGCGAATCTTTAGAAAACTATTTTATACATATAAGCCAGCGATATCAATATTGTGAGATATTTTTAGGTGCTTAGGTAATGGTGCCATACTTTTTTGCATTTGAGCTCCTATTTTTAAAATGGCAAAAGTATGTCGTGCTTTATAGATGAAATCGTAGCCTAATTTATAAAGTTGAAAGGGATGCTTTAAAAAGGTAATTTCACAAATTTGCACCCAGAAACCTATACTTTTAAGACCTAAGTATTTTTCAAGAGAGTAAATTTTTAAAATGGTGCAATACACCTTGTATTTAAAATGTTAGTTTTTCTTCAAAAATAGTAAGAAGTAGGGGTCTGTTCTAATATAAGATATTCGTACAAATCTATACTATCTAAGGTTCTTTTTTATCTAAGAAAACAAAAAACTAAATAAATATTTTATGAGAACGTCTATTGAATATAGAGTTTTTTCACAGTTATGGAATGACATCATTCGATAATGAAAACATTAGTGAGCTATATCATTAGTTAATACAATAAACGAACTAAATGGAGAGAGAAATTTAAAGTTTTATCTCGCATTTCGTGAATAGTAATGGATTAATGTGTAATACACTTTAATCTAATTGGAGACACTTTTAATGTAAAGAAATAGAAAACTTAGAATATATGTAAGGCAACTCTGTGTCCTATATATCGTTAATTGGCATCATTTTCTCTTTTTATATTTAATTTTACTTTAATTTTAAGTCTAGAAATAACTAACGCTTACATACGCCTTTGATGTCGTTACTAAATTACGTAATTTAAAAATAGCAATACAGAGTATGACTTGATAGGAGAGCATATTAATTAAGTTAATCTGAAATAGTGACTTTGGATATCTGAGTACCTTTTCCTTCGAAAATAATTGAAACTTTCTATTAAAGTTAATTAAAAAGTTCAAAAGAAATAACAACGCTGGTAGACAGAGTTAAAACTTGTATCATGAAAATTGTAAATTTTTCTAATAAGAATATGAACTGAAAAAACATCGAATTTTTTTTTCAATGTTTATTCTTGCGTATATATTATATTAAAAGAATTCTAAACATGAGTACATGTAAATTCAGAAAATAATTGATAAAAATAATACTTTAAGTTTTAAAATTGCAAAAAAAACACAATAGCTTAGGTTAAATGTTTCTTCACTCAACGGTAAAACAGTTTATTTACTCGTTGTTTGTTTTTTTGTAGTCTTTTAAAATAAATTTTTGGATCAACATTTTAAACTTTTTATTGATACTTCTATAATATACAATAAAAATCAAAATATATTTTTTATCGTTTCAGACAAAAAAGTATTACTTCGTAATAAGTCAGAATAAACATAATTTGGAGTTAAGTAATTAAACAAGTGACAGTTTTTTTCGGAAAAGCAATTAAAGGGAAAAGAGTTGAAGTAGTTAAATAACACTCAGCACTCGGGGAATTTATTTTTTACTTAATTTAAAGCTTTGGTCAAAGCAAATTAAGAAAAAATAACAATAAAATTCTCTGTTAGCTCCTCATATAATACAAAAATACAAGCAAAGATTAAAAAAAAATTTCTATCTTAAAAAGAGATCAAATATTTTAATATCCGATTGTTGAGCTTCAAAATTTTTATAGGAAAACTATACATGATTTAAGGCAACAGAACAAAAGCTACTCTTTTTAAGTGCACTTATTGTGAACAGTTTTTAACTTAAAAATTTTTTGAATGGTTTTTATTCTATAATAAAAGAGTAAACATTTTTTTTTCATGTTGATTGTATTTTGAATAATTGCTTAAACATAATGAGGTGATATAAAAGTTTATATTTTTTAAACTTATCATATACTAAGCTTTAAACAAACGTAAAAACTGTTAGTTTTACAACCAAGGCTAATGGAAATAATAGCACTTTTTCTTCATTTAATTTTTTTCAATGTTTATTAGCTCTAAAATTCGTTCCATTAAATAATATCTATAGAGAAACTTTTAAGTAATGAACCAAAAAAAGCACATTTTTTACGTTAATGAGTTTTCGACTTTTTATTCATATATTCTGAAAAATTGAATTGCTACATCAAATAAAACGAAAATTTTGTTTATGATAAGTGAAATAAAAGATGACACATAAAAATTTTTTCTCATAAGATAAGAATATCTTCATTCACACACCAATAAAAGTATAATAAAAAAAGTGATTTTCTTCATCCCTGTAATAAGTAATATTTTAGAGCAAATCCCAAGGATACATAACCAAAAAAACTAAAATAAATTACATTTATTTTCGCAGCTGTAAAATTAATGAAATCATTTAATGAACACGGAAAGATGCAGTGCTGCGTAGTTATATATTTTTATAAAGCTTATGTTTAGCTTTAAAAGTTAATTTTTTTCAAAAAATTACTTTCTAAAGAAATAATACTGTAGTTAATATAGATAAACATATTACGGCATATAGTTTATAAAAAATATATTTAACGCAAAAAAATAATAATATCTACTTTTATTTCCAATGTATGATTTACAAAAGTTCATAAATACTTTTGAAATATATTTAAGAATGAATTACGAAACCTAAAGAATACTTAAAATAAATGCTGCGAGCCTTAATTTTTTGGAATTTTTTAAGAGAAATGTGGCAAAGATTACATCTTATCTGCTAGTAATTTTCAAAAAAAAAACTTTTAATTAAAGTTTACTCTTGATTTATTTTTAGTTTTTTATTATGTGGGAGCAAGTCCAAAAAAGGGGCAGTGGAAGAAAATTAGCGACATCAATTAACTAAATCCCAAAAAGTTGAACAAATGATAACAAAACTGTTATGTTACAAACAATTGGTTCAAAATGATTGATAACTAGGGCTCCTATTCTCAATGATACATT